TTCCGTCTCTCGGTCGACGGCATCGAGTCGCAGTTTGCGACCAACCACGTCGGTGCCATGGCGCTCACGCTTGGGCTGCTTCCGCTTTTGGAAGCCGCGCCGGTCGCCAAGATCGTCTGCGTGAGCTCGGCCCTTCACCAGTTGGCGCCAACGATGGGTATTGACTTTGACCATATCAACGACGAGGCCGTGTACGGCATGCACGCGGCGTACGGTCAATCCAAGCTGGCGATGATTCTCTTTGCGCGCGAGCTCCACAAGCGGCTGCGGGCGCGGGGTGTCAACCACGTGTATGTCACCTCGCTGCACCCGGGTGTCGTCCAGACCGAAATCGCCCGTGAGCTGCCATGGATCGTGCAAAAGGCGCTTTGGCTCTTCCAGCGCAACGCCGACGATGGGGCCAAAACGCAACTCTACTGCGCGACGAGCCCCGAGATTGAAAAGAAAGACCTCTCGGGTCTCTATTTCACGGCAATTGCGAAACTGAAGGAGACGACGACACTCGGTCAGGACATGGACCTCGCGGCCAAGCTCTGGACCTTCACGGAGGAGCTCATTGCGTCCAAGACCCCATCCAACTAGATCGTGTAGTACGTTGGACATGGACACGCACAAATGCATTCCTTTTGACTTGTGTGCTTCGTCGATTTGTATTCGCGCAGACTTGTCGAACGCGGAGAGCCCACAGTATTTAAAGAATACACAGAATTTCCAGATAAGACCAGACGTAGCAGAAAGCGCATGGTCTGCACGGGACCACAAGGAACCGAGTATCATGCACGACGTCTCGAATCCATTGGCCATGTCAGGTAGACGACGTTCAGATCCACCAATCAAAACACACGATTCAAAAATCGATATCCAATCAAAACGCCGCACAAGTTGGTTGCTGGAGAGCGAGAGAAAGCGCCAAAACTAAATGGAGCTAGCATCGCAGATCAGCGTCGCCAAATAGCGAGACACCTTTTTGTGGCCGCGACGTCTCGCCGCGTATAGGACACTTGGCGTCCGTCCAATGCCACAGGTGGCGTGCAAATGCCAGGCCATCTCGAATTGGCCACTTGACGCCGCGCGCACGAGCATGCGCTTTTGCACAGCCAGTGGCACCTGCGTCGGTAAATGGAGGTGAAACGCATAACAAACGAGCTGCAAGATGTCAAAGCTGCCGCTCTGTGTGGTCTCCAACAGCAGCGCGATCAGGTCGCACGTGTGCCCGTCGACACAAGCGCATGGTCGCCAAAAGCCATGCGACAAGACGTAGGCGATGGTGTCGACGTGGCGCTTCAGTACGGCACACAAGATCGGTCGATGGCCGTTCGTGCGCTGCCCGAGACCCTCGTGGAGGTAACGCACTACGGGCAAATGGCTGTTCGCGACGGCTTCCTTGATTGCATTGGACGGAACGACATGGCCGTGGGCAACAAGCAGCTCCAGGATTTCGAGGTGGCCTTGGCTGGCTGCCCAGCACACCGCCGACCCCGTGACGTAGTCGCCACTTCAGATGCAAAAGTCGTCGTCATCTTGATGAGGCAACTGTAGGCTGCAGCGCCGATCCGAGCATACCCTGGCGTCGCCCTGGGG